GTGTGCGCTTGAGAAAAATGTGTACTCCGTTTTTTTGGGGTTTAGTGTTCTATAGATGTCTGTTAAGCCCAATTGCTCTAGGTCTTTATTTAGAGCTTTGGTTTCTTTACTTATTTTTTGTCTTGTTGATCTATCCATTGTTGATAGTGGTGTGTTGAAGTCTCCCACTACGTATGTGTTTTCTCTGATGTCTGTTTTCAGAGAGGACAACAGTTGTCTGATATATTTTGGTGCTCCTTCGTTTGGTGAGTATATGTTAATGAGTGTTATTTCTTCTTGAAGTATTGTCCCCTTGATCATAATGTAGTGACCATTGGGGTCTCTTTTTATCTTTTTGAGTTTGAAATCTGTTTTATCTGATATAAGTATAGCTGTTCCTGCTTTCTTTTTTGGTCCATTTGCTTGTAGGATTGTTTTCCATCCTTTAACTTTGAGCCTATTTTTATCTTTTGTAGCTAAATGTGTTTCCTGGAGACAGCAAAAGGTTGGGTTTTGTTTCTTAATCCAGGCTGCAACTCTGTGTCTTTTTATTGAAGAGTTTAGTCCATTTACATTTAGAGTTAATATTGATATGTTAACATCTGTATTTGCCATTGTGTTTGTCTTTCCTTTGATTTTATTTATTTATTCTTTTAATAACTTTTTTTTTTTTTTTTTGGCCTTCTTTTCATTGTTATTCGTCGCTCTGAGGTTCTGGCTTTAGGACTCCTTGTAGTATTTTTTGGAGTGGGGGTTTAGTTGCAATGAAATTCCGGAGTTTCTGTTTGTCTGGGAAGGTCCATATTCTTTCTTCAAAGAGGAAGGAGAGCTTTGCGGGATAGAGTATTCTTGGTTGGCATCTGTTTTCTTGGAGTCTGTTGACTATGTCCCTCCACTCTCTCCTTGCCCGTAGTTTTTCTTCGGAGAAGTCTGATGTCAGCCTGATTGGTTTTCCTTTGAATGTTATCTGTTTCTTCCCTCTTGCCAGCTTCATTATTTTTTCCTTGTCCTGGATTCTTGGGAGCTTTACTATTATGTGTCTTGCTGTATTTTTCCTTTCGTCGTGGAAGTTTGGTGTTCTTCTTGCTTCTTGTATATCAATTTTCAGCTCCTTCTTCACATTTGGGAAGTTCTCTTCAATTATCTCTTTGAATATTTTCTCTGTTCCTACATCTCTCTCCTCTCCTTCTGGTATTCCTATAACTCTTATATTTCCTTTCCTCATGGAGTCCGATAGTTCCCGAAGTCTTTCTTCGTTCTTTTTCCTTCGTACTTCTCTTTCCTTCTCTGTTTTGGTTCTTTTTATTTCTGTGTCTTCAAGATTACTTATTCGTTCTTCCATTTCATCTATTCTGCTTTCATTGCTTTTCCCAGAATTCTTTAGTTCTTCCATTAATTCTTTGATCTCCTGCATTTCTTTTACTTCCCTCTTTAGGGACTAAATTTCTTTCTTCTGACCATTGTTTTCCCTCTCTAGGGACTCAATTGCATTCTTCTGATCGTTGATTATTTTTCCCTTATCATTGTTTTCCTTTATGACTTCTGTCAGTTTTTTAATCACGGCAATTTTAAATTCTCTTTCTGGAAGGCTCAGAAATTCTTCCAAGTTATTGTCGTTGCAATCTGGGGGCTGGCTTTCTTTTTGTGGTGTGCTTTTTCTCTGGAGAGTTGCTAGGTTGCGTGTGGTTCTTCTCCTCCCTACTGTCTGTTTTCTAATTTGCCGTATGCGTTGGGACACTGTGTTGTTGGGACTTGCCGGCATCTTGGGTGGGCTTCTCTGTTCCCCTCTGGTTCTTCCAGGAGTCATCTGTCAGTTTCAAGCAGCCTTTACTGGAGAAAGGTCCCTGTTCTAAAATGCCGATGTGGGGACACACTCCCCTGTGCGCCTGGTCTGCCCCGGCGGTGGGTTCCTGCTCCCCTCTGGGCTTGGACTGCAGGCCAGAGGGGGTCTGGCGTGGGCGAACTTCCCCCGCTCACCTCTGGCTCCTGAGGAAGCCTTCTGCAGGTAGTCTTTACTGAAGAAATGTCCCTGTTCTAAAATGGTGATGTGGGACACACTCCCTGCGCTTCTGGTCTCAGGCACACTATTCTGCGCGCCTGGTCTGCCCCGGCTGTGGGTGCTCGCTCTCCCTGTGGGCTCAGACTACTTGTTCAGAAGGGGCCCGGTGTGGGCTAACTCCCCAGCTGGCCACTAGCTCCTTCAGTAGCCTGTGCTGGGGTCAAGTCGCTAGGTGGCACCAGAGATCTCTCCTAGAGCCCTTGGGGAGCTGATTTTCCACCCCGTGGGACAGGGAGCAGAGCGGGGATGGTAGGGTACACCTCAACGGCTTTGGGGTGCTGTGTCTGCCTTGTGCCCCACCGTCGTGGGGAACCCACGCCCCTAATTTCGTGCCCCGGGTCTCAGTTCCAAAGCCCTCAGTTCCAGGACGCGGGCTGTAGCCCAGATCAGTGGCGCGGGAATGGCGCCTTTTGAATCCCGCTCCCCTGCCTGGGCGCCTTGTTCCTGCTCACTCAGGGAGGGCCTCCGCCCGGGTCTCAGTTCCAAAGCCCTCAGTTCCAGGACGCGGGCTATAGCCCAGATCAGTGGCGCGGGAATGGCGCCTTTTGAATCCCGCTCCCCTGCCTGGGCACCTTGTTCCTGCTCACTCAGGGAGGGCCTCCGCCGTCTCCCCGCAAGCCTAGGTCGCAGGCGCAGGGCCCTGGGCAGCTGCAATCCGAGCGCCGCTTTCGCGCAAGCTTACCGGGCGGCTGGGGCTGTGTGCTGGTGCTGGGCTCCTCCTGGTGGGCGGGGCTCTCTTTACTGGCGCCTGGAGCTCACCTCCGCGGCGGATCCTGCAGGGTTCGCCTCAGCTCCCGTTCACGGGGTGTGGTGGCTGAAATAGTTCCTTTCCACTCACAGTCCCACTTGCTGCATCCGTTTTTCTTGTTGGGCGTTTTGGTTTGTTGTTTCCCTCGTCTCTGCCGGTCGGAGAGTGCTTGAAATGAATTTTAAACCTATATTTACTTATTTTAAGTTTATTGAGGTTGAGTTTACTTACAGTAAAATTCACCTTTTTGGGTGTAGTTTTTTAGCTAGGACTAATGGACACAGTCATATGACAACTACTACAATGAGGATGTTCCAGTTGTGCTAGCATTGGATATTTTTATTTTTCACATTAGCCATTTATATTGGTGCGTGGTAGTGTTTCGTTATGTTCTTAATATGCAGTTACCTAATAGATAATGATGTTGAGCATCGATTTTCCTGTGCTTATTTCCCAGCTACATCATTTTTTGGGTGAAGTGACAATTCAAACATTTTGCTCACTTTATTGGATTTTTTTTGAGGGTTCTTTTTATATTCTGGATATGTCATTTATCAGATGTCATTTATAAATATTTTATCCCAATCTGTAATTAGTTTTTTTCTTTTTAACCATCCTTTTGAAGAACAGATTTAAATGATATATGCAGTTGATCAGGCTTCTTTTTTTTTAATTTGTGCTTTTGCTGTAAGGACTCTGTTGAACCCAAAGATTTTGCCTCCCTTTTATCTTACTTTCTCCCTGTGCCTTCTGTTTTCTGTATATCCCTCTCCTAAACAAACATATACCCACTGCATTTTTAGACTCTAACTGCGGAAAAATTAAAAAGGAGTTGATACAAATTTATACAGACTTTAAGTTACCAAATATGACACAATATCAGATATTCAGTAAATGTGATTTTGAAGCAAGAATAATATGACAGCAGCATCCCTGGTCTTGCTGTGCAGTGAGTGAATTTTGATTTGATGAAAGGAGGAAGATAAGGAAGAGATCAAAGACTCCAGAGAAATGGGCAGAAATGAAACTTCTTAAGTAGCACTTAATATTTTCGAGAGTCTTTCTAAGTTGCCTTCTGGCAACTTTGTGAAGTAGGCAAGAACTAGTTTATCTTTTTCATAGATATGCTCTCCATCCTGAATTGTTCTGCCATCCATAGAACGAACATACCACACATGTTCGCCTTCATAAGAATCTGCTACATTGCCCATCAGCTGGATATTCAGAGCATCTGCTCTTAAGGTTTTCACTGTGGGTCACATCTACTAAGTGTGTGATCCGCCTCATCTAAATGCACTTGACTTGTCTCTGCTGGTCAGCAGTGACACAGGCCTTGGACCCTCAGTGGCAGTGGCCGAGTGGGGTGACTTCATCCTTATCTGAGGTCCCTTAGACTGTTCTATTGCTCCCCAAGATGATTTCTTTGTCCTCAAAATGTTTCTAGTCGAACTATTCCCAAACAACCTTACAAATTTGGTGACAGTTCCTCCAGTAATTTTCTCATAATATTTTAACAGATTGGGGGATGGGAACATGGGTGGGTAATAAAACTAAAGATTAGGGAAGTCTGTAAAATTGTCAGAACCCAGGTTAAGTTTCAGATCTTATGACCCTTTTCTTTTCCATTGTACATTCCGTGCGTCTGTTTCTGAAAGTCTAGTAACTGTACCATTTTTTTAAATTAGAATTCAGTGAGACAGAGGGACAAGATTTAGCTCAATAAAATGTTGTAGTACAGGCTACTAGGAGGACTCATACTAATCCTTGGGTCCTGGGAACTGAATGTGAGTGATTGAAATCGACTGGGAATCACTGGTTTCTTAAACTTCTGTAACAATTAATGGCTTAGCTTCTGCCATGAGATTTAATGTAGCCATTGAATAAAAGGCATTTAAGTTCTCCTTTTGATGGATATGAAATAGTTCATTGTGCTTTAATGCCTTTTCTTCATTGCGGTGAATTGCGCACTCTTCACGTGTTTATTAGCTATTCACGTGTCCTTTCTGCAAGATGTCTGTTTACATATTTTACCCATTTTCCTGTGAGGTGATTTGTAGGAGTTATCTGTAGATTTTTGATACTAGTAATTTTCATGTATTTTCCAAGTATTTTTCTATATTCAAGTTATATTTCATGTGCATATTAAATAAATCTTACAGTTCATTTTCTAGGTTCTAAAAATTTTAAGTTAATATTTTCTTTTTCTCTTTATAGGTTATGAACATAATTTCTGATGAAATGGGATTGGAATAATTTTCATGATCTTTGTATATTTATATATATATATATATATTTTAAAATTTTGCATTTGACTAAAGTGCCATGAGAAAATTTGCGTATTGTAAGGTGGTCCTAGCCACCTCCTTGATTTGGGTACTCTTGGATATGTTCCTGCTGCTTTACTTCAGTGAATGCAACAAATGTGATGAAAAAAAGGAGAGAGGACTTCCTGCTGGGGATAGTAAGTGACATTTTATAATAATACCTTTGTTTTAATAAGTATGTCACTGTTTACTAACTAATATAGATACTGTAAATTTTTAACTTTTAGATTAACAGTAATCCCTGTAGTCTTCCTGTATATGATGATTGTATTTCCAGCAATTCTCCAGTGTGTGTTGTTTTTTTTTTAAGATTTATTTAGTTATACAAGAACCAAGGTACAAGCTAGATGTACGGGAGGATAAGAGGATTCACCAGAGACAGAGTGGGGAACAGAACAGGCAGACTGACTGAAATGTACTGCTGAGGGGCGCAGCAGGCGAGACAGGAGAGGTCTGCTGTGCCATGTGGGACCCGATGGGATCGAACTGGCTCTGCAGGCTGCCAACAGCTTCACAGCATGGCTCTCAACCGCCTGTGCCACCAGGGGAGGCCCTCCAGTGTGTTCTTCTGATAGTTAAAACTATTCAAGTATTATGTGTAGAATTACTAAATTCAATTATTGTGTTCAATGTTAAATGTAGTTAGGTTTCTGCAAGATATATACTATTACCAAATAATGTAGGGAATCTCATATAAGGACTGTCAAAATTATACAGGTTAGTCTGATGTCATAATGCCGAGTGGAGTTTTAAGATTGCATTATCAGATATCAAAAGAGACGACTTCTGCCTTCCCACTAAGTCCTAAGGGAAGAACTCATTCTAGATAGGTGTGATCTAGATAGTTCTTTTCGTTACTGCTGTAAATAGTTCCACTTAGCACTGGCAATAAGGGCTTTTGAAAAGATCAGGCATCAGAATAGGGACTGCAGTCAGAACATAGCAATATTTGGTATGGAAAAGAAAGGAAACACAAATATGAGGACCTAGGTTGGAAATACAAATTTTTGGCAGAGGACACATGGAAAATGCAGTTTTAAATTCCTTGTGCTCAAACCAGTAAACAAATGCTGCCTTTTGCTTATTTATTTATTTATTTTTAGATGTATTAAGGTGACTTGTTTTTCTTTTTGTATTTATTTATTTATTTATTTATTTTATCTATTTATACAAGCACTGGGTACAGTCAGAAGCGCAGGAGGGTGAGAGAATTCACCAGAGCCAGAGCGGGGAGCAGAGCAGGCAGAAGGACCGAAGTACACTGCTGAGGGGAGCAGCGGGCGGCAGGAGAGGTCTGTGCGCCATGTGGGACCCTCCTCCGGTGGCCCGGGGAGCAGCCGGGGATTGAACCGGCACTGCAGAGGCTGCGGGCTGCTTCGCAACCCAGCGCTCAACCGCTGCGCCACCGGGGAGGCCCAAGGTGACTTGTTTTTCAAGTCAGGGTCCTGAATGCTCTGTTATTAGTTACTGATTATCTGGATATACATTATCCTACTATTTTTAGGAATTACATGCAAATGATTATTCTGTTGTTTTAACATAAATTTTGAGTATATAGCCTAATACAAATATTTTTCATTTTTATAATGAGAGCACATGGTCCCCTGAAATACAAAATTTAAGATTATTTGTATTGGTAACTGCCTACTTTTTGTGATTTTTGTGGATGAGATTATATAAACAGTTCTGTTAATTTCTTCTTGGGAAATTTGCCTAAAAATTAGGCTCACTTTCTTGCACTGAGCTCTTATAATTCCTATGCTAACACCTAACTTTAAAATTTCCCTGTAAGTTGTTATAAACATATTTTTATTCTAAGCCTATTAATTTGCAGACTTCCCCTTGGTTTACTTTATCACCCTGATGTTTAGTAACTTTGTTGGGTAACAAAACACTGCCTCCTTAATTGTTTATTTTTTTATTTTTAAGATTTATTTATTTATTCATACAAGAGCTGGGGTACAGGCCAGAGATGAGGATGCGGGGGTGAGAGGATTCACTGGAGACAGAGTGGGGAACAAAACAGGCAGACTGACTGAAACACTGCTGAGGGGAGCAGCAGGCGAGACAGGAGAGGTCTGCTGTGCCATGTGGGTTTCTCTCTGGCTGGCCGGGATTCGAACTCGTGCTGCAGAGGCTGTGGATAGCTTCACAGTGTGGTGCTTAACCCCTTGTGCCACCAGAGAGGCCTGCCTCCTTAATTGTTGTTAGAGCTTTATCTCCCTGTCTACATTTAAGACAAAGGGCAGCTATTGCCATTCACTGCTGAAAAACATGGTTATTCTTTCCCCAAATGCAATAGTTTAACTTTCCTTTTACCCCACCTTAATTCATTGCTATTTATAATGGAAGCTCAATGGTATTCTCTCTTAACTGCAAAGATATGAAAGAAAGACAAGGACCTATAGAACATGAAGATCTACTCAATGAATGCTTGTTAAACTATGATATGTGTTAGGCAGTGTTTTAGATGCACTGTTACATAGTTGAAGAAAAAAAGTAGGAATGTCTAATTTAGGGGTACTTACAGTCTAATTGGAGGGAAATAATAATAGCAAAATTCTGATGAAGTAAATATGCTAGAGGTTTGTACAGGAGAGAAAGGAGGAAACATGGGGCATCTGAGAATGTATAGGAAGGAGGTAATGTTCAAGTTGAGCAGTGTCAAGGTGAGTTGGTATTTGTTAGGTTTAATGGAATAGGCCACTGCCTTCTAAGCAAAGGAAAGAAGCTTGTGTGAGATGAGCAAGTGAGAACACAGAGTTGATGGATAGGAGAATGCGAGGAAAGAGTACAAGATGAAGTTTGGGAGATTAGCAAAGGCTTATATGACATGCTAAAGGTTTTGGACTTCATCCTGTAGGCATGGAGTGCCATCGGGATTTTAAACACGGCAGTACATAGGACCCTGACTTTCAGAAGAAAGTTTGGTGGCCTTGTGGCTGATGTACCAGAAGAGCAGAGATTGGGTGTGAGGATGTTTTGGAAATTGGAGAAGCTTTTGGGGCCTACACTAAAATGACACTGGGGGTGGAAAGGAAATAAAATCTATGACAATTATGCAAGCAGTGGGATTTATATAATATGAGAAGCTATTGAAGGTAGGTAATGAGAAAGTGAAAAGTCTGAGATAACTCTCAGGTTCCCTATTTGGATGAATTGGTACATGGTAAGACCCCCAGAGATGGACCAGCTTTGATGAGAAGGTGGGTGAATAAGTTTTTTTGCTAGAGGTGCTGGTAGAGATGTCCTACAGTATGAATTGGAGGATATAAATAGCTTATGCCTTGCCTGTACTTGAGATTGCACCAAGTATGTGTGTGGAGTTAGGGGAAAGAGACACTGTTGGAGAGCACCTTGTGGAGGATCAGATTAGGTGTGGCTGGTTTCGGAAATGACTGGTTATTGGTACAGTTTAAATTCAAGTGTTAAACAGAAACATAAATCAATTGCTATAAAATTAATGTTAGTTAAGATTCCTTCTTATTCTTAGTTCTAGAGCCAGTACAAAAGCCTCATGAAGGTCCTGGAGAAATGGGGAAACCAGTCGTCATTCCTAAAGATGATCAAGAAAAGATGAAAGAGATGTTTAAAATCAATCAGTTCAATTTAATGGCAAGTGAGATGATTGCACTCAACAGATCTTTACCAGATGTTAGGTTAGAAGGGTAAGTACCTAATGCGGTCCTGATAATATTTAATTTGAATGAAAGGCATATTCTGAATTCCCAGTAAATGAATGTTACATCACTGAGTTACTCCTTACCACACATAAAAAATAATTAGGTCCTTATTAAAAAAACACCTCAAGTAACTATTGATCATTAGGACTATGTATTATAGGCCATGGAAAATAATTGGTTATCTTAATACATTAGTAAGGGGTTTAAAACTTTACTATTATCAATACATTCATATGGTTAACTTTCTGAAAAATATTCTTTGTAACTGAAGTGAATACAACCACAAGTGCACAGACTACTGAACTTTACATATGTATCTAACCATAGCAAATCAAAATATAGAACATTTTCATCTCCCTTAAAAGTTCTCTCATGTTTCCTTCCTGTCAGTATTCTGATCTCTAGAGATAAGCATTACTTTGACCTCTTAAACATAGATGAATTTTGTCTTTGTTTTGACTTGTCATGCATCTGTACAGTATACTTTTATGATATTGTTGAATTTATCAAAAATTTATTTTTTTTCAATGCAGTGTAGCGGTTTGTTATTAAACATACCACCAATAGTTTGCTTATACATTTATAGGTATTTGGGTTGCTGCTTCTTTTTAACTATTATGAATAAAGCTCTCATGACATTCTTGTCAATGTGTTGGCAGACATAATCTCTCATTTCTATTTAGTATGTATTGGGGAAAGAAATAGAGTATACATATCTATACTGATGAACAACAGGGCCAGATAAAAGCAGGGGAACTACACAAAAAACAGGAGACTAAATGAACTTACATCCCTACATTGCCTACAGCCCTTGCCACTTTGCCTCCTTTGACTCTCATGAATGTCACTAAAGTCTTAGCCTTCCGGGGTTGGAAGATCTTCTCAACAGAATTGGACTAATCATAGGAAAAAAAGAAAATTACAAACAACTGATATCAGACTTTGTCCAACTTAAAGGCACAACCTGATCATCCAAATGGAAATTTAGGGCCTCCCTGGTGGCACAGGGATTAAAGTCTCAGTGCTGTCTAGCTATCACCAAATGGAAATTCAGTAAGCCTTACTTATATAGTCAGAATTTATATTCAGTTTTTTGGTCTTCCATTTTTATATCAAAAAGATAACTCAGGAATTCTAGATATACTAGAAAACCCTCAAACATTAAAAATGTAGTCAAAAGTAGAGAAATAAGCAAGTTGGAAGAAGCAAAGACTATTCATGAAGAAAAAACTTAAAAACATTAATCTCTTGAACTCAGAAAACATTACAACCATTTAAAAAATATATAGATGACTGGATCATGAAGATGTGATATATATACACAATGGAATATTATTTAGCAATCAAAAAAGATAAACTCATGCCATTCGCAGCAATGTGGACGGAGCTAGAAGGAATTATGCTCAGTGAAATAAGCCAGAAGGAAAAAGAAAAATATCGGAAGGTTTCACTTATAGCAGGAATATAAGGGAACCAAATAAGACATCAGTGTAAAAAAATAATAACAGTACAAAACACAACAAAGCAAAAACAGACAATTATAAACCAGAGACATACTGCAGGGAGGAGGAGGGAGAAGGATCAGAGCGAGAGAGGGAGGAGCACAGGGGACTGAGGTGATGGTGCACAGGTGCATTGGGGATGGAAATTCCATGGGGACTACACCTGAGGGGGTGGGAGGAAGCAAATACTGTTCAAAAATGAACGACGATGTAAAAAAAATTTTTAAAAATTATAAATAATAGAATAGTTACTTGACAGATAACACCGACAGAACCAAAAATAGCTTTTGGAAAACAAAAACTGAAAGCAGTGTGGGAGGAAGTCTTTATAGAAATGGACCATAGGGACAAAGAGATTGACAATAGTAAAAGTATATGAAATGGAAGTGACACTCAAGGAGCATAGTATTTGATTAATAGGCATCTCAGAGAGAAGAACAACAAAAATGGGGGAGAGGTTTATGCACAAAATAGTCCAGAACCAAACTATACAGATTTTGGATTAAAAGGGCCTGCCAAGTTGTCAGGACAATAAATGAAAATAGGCCATACCCCAAGGCATTATGAATTTCAGAACAGTAGGGTCTCCCCCACAAAATACTTCTTAGGTTTCTTTAGAAAAGAATGCAGGTTACCATCAACACAGATCTAGCATCTGTGGGAACAAAGAAGCAAAATTCTCAAGGAAAATAATTTCCAACTTAGAATTTTATATCTGTGCAAACTTAAAATCTGGTTAGATACAGCTAGATAGGGATATCTTTGTAAATGCCAGGATTCAAGAACTGTCACACATCCTTTCTTGGGAAGTTACTGAAGATTGTGCCCTCTAAACAGTTACTGAAACCATGGAAAAGGAAGGCACAAGATGTGGAAAACAGATAATTCAATGTGTGTTGAGAGATGGTGGGGATGCCTGAAAGATGGTGAAGGGAGACCCTGTGATAACAGTTGTGCTGGCAGAAAGGCAGCCAATCCAGACTGGAGTGGATCAGAAAACACAGGAGAGACTTCAAAAAGATGCTTTTGAAGTCAAACCTGATGCAGTTAAATTTGTTTAAAAGAAATTTAGGCAAGTTGATGGGAGTTTGGGGTAAAATATTAATAATGTCAATGGGGAAAATTTAAGCAATTAATGACTCCAGGGAAAACTGCTGAAAGTTGTTTAGAGATGCCATAGTATACAACCTGGCACACTGTGTATGAGTCATAATAAGGTAACCATTGAATGTTGTGCATGTAAAAATTAAACTGAGGGAATGAACAGTATTATTCATTTAGCTAAGTGGAGATCAAAGGAAGCCTTTTTGTAATCTTACATTTTCACAAACTGTATTTTCCTAGACAATTTAAGAATTACTATAGAATGCTTAATTCTTATGGAAGTCTACATTTACCATTTTAATGATGTCTGTATTACAAAGAACCTCAACTATTAATGGTAGATTCTTTTTCTTTAAATTTTAATAATGCCCCTAAGCACAAAACTACTCAGCATATTGTATTAAATGGTTATGTTTTCTTTTTATCTTTTATGTGGTTCTTTAAGGTATTTTTATTAATGAGTAGTTCTTAAGAGTATACTAAGCCACAAGTTTTTGGACAGTGACCAACTAAAAAACAGTGTTTAAATGATGAGACACATGCCTGTGTACTGAACTTTGGACTTGATGAGGACTCTTCAGAGCTGAAAAAGTCCTGCTTTGTGCATGCTACTAATGACCGGTCCTTCTTGCCAACCTTTGGGTGGCTTTGGGGTTGGGACACTTAAGGGGAGTGATGCAAAGTACTACTTTTTATACCTTCTTGTTACATCTCTGTGCTGGTGTTCTTTTAAAAAATTTTTTTGAAAACATTTTATTATGGAAAATTTCAAGGATATGTAAAAATAGAGATAATGTAATGAACCATCATTATTTGTCACAGTTCTTGAATAATATCTAACAGTCCTGTCTTATCCTATCATTATACTCTAAGCTGCACTCCATCCACCTCCATCTCCTGGTATTTATACCCTTGTATAGTTTCTTTCTACATTGTACTAGGGTTAGTCTGTGTGTACAAGTTGTGGAGTGAGTGCCATTTTCAGGATTACGTTACGAAATACACTGTAATTTCCAGTTTGGCCTTTTACTATTACTTGAATCTTTCACTCCTGGGTAGGCCACTTGGCATGGCTGGAGGAGACCAGTGGAGAAGCCCACGTGGCTTATGGCCTTTTGAGAACAACCAGGTGAGTGAGATTAGAAGCACAGTTTCTACCTCTGGGCAAAAACGTATCTTTAATGTTATTATCAGTTACGTTATTTAATTATTAAAGATAACATTACATTATGCATGTCTGATAGATGAATCATCATCTGTCATATGAATGAAAGTAAAATGATGCCACTTTCACACCTAAAAATACATTAACAGTGATTTCCTTAATATGAAATACCTAGTGTTCAGATTTCTCTGGTTTTCCATTTTTATGGTATTTGTATCATGACCCATGCAAGTTCCATGCATTGCTACTGGTGGATGTGTCCCTGAAGTCTCTCTTAGAATGCAGGTTCCCTCTTCATCTTTTTTTTCCCTCAAGGTTTAATGTTTGAAGAAACCAGGTAGAGGGTGTTGTATTTTTCCTCAGCCTACATTTTGCTGTGGTGTCATTAATTGCATTCCTTTCTTCCCTATAGATTGTTAGGTTAAATATGTTTTGTACAATATCCTTGTGAACGCAAGTGAATTATGTGCTTGTTCAAGTAAAGATGTGAAATCTGGTCATTCGCATGCATCCTCATGGCACTGCTCTCATACGTGTCCCACCTGTTTTCTAGAACTCATATTGTCCAGACTTTGGACTGTTTGATGATTTCTCTTAATCTTCTCTTAATCTTTGTCTTTTTGTTCTACTTCTAGGGAGAAACTAGCGTATCTTCCAGCTATTCTCTTGAATTTTCTATTAAATTTATTACTGTCTTTTTAAAAAATACAGACCCAAAACCCCATAATTTATCTTTTTTAAACATATAGTCAAGAGATATTTAGCATAAAAGTAGCATTTTAGTCTTTCCAGTGTTTCAAGTAATTTTAACTTTGGTGTAAAACTTAGTCAGTCCCCACTTATTGTCCTTGAGTAAAATTAATTAATAAAAAGTCAGTCCCCCAAAGCATACTGCTTGATGGGTTATCTCAGGGAGATTGCTATAGCCCAGAATAACTGAATCAACTTAGAACCAAGGCCTCTCTCTGTTTCTTAATTAGCTTCTTTCTCTACCTAATTGCTGAAAATTTTGTTCCCCTTATTTATTCTTTTTAATGCTAGATTAAATTCTGGAAACAAATTATATATTTAGTAGAATTTTTTTATTTCTTCACATGTTAAATTTCTTTAGATGATTTTGATGAACTTATCAAAGTTGCTTATAATTTTTAAGATTTATGTTTTGGGGGATACTTTCAGTAACATTGCTGTTTTCCTATAAATAGGATTTGTAG